GAACATTGTGGGAAGTGGGGTTAAATTATCGCCCGGCAGGAGGCGGGCAGTTAACGCTGCCGGTCTCTTTCGACGATGCAGTGCCCGCACTGGAGCCGGAAAGTCGCACCGAGCGTATGCTTGATGAATATGAGATGTTGGGACTGTGCCCGGACGGGCAGGTAATGGAGCTGATCAGGCCGCACCTGGGAAGAGAAGTTTTGCCGGCAGACCGTTTGCGCGACTACGGCGACGGCGACATTGTTCGAGTAGCCGGCAGAGTGGTGCGGCGCCAGCGTCCATTGGCCAAGGCAGTTTTCATGACCCTGGAAGACGAAACGGGATTGATACCCCTGGCGGTCTGGCCGGCAGAGTGGAGCGTCTGAAAGGAGCGTTGGGACACCGCCTGGTAATGGTGGAGGGTGAAATATCACGCCGCGACAACACCTTGAACATTGCAGTACATGGCGCGTGGCCTTTGGGTTGGCCATCGTCGAGTTTGCCCGAACCGCGTTCCTGGAAATAGTTCCACGCGATCCTGCCAGCCGTACGCCATCCGGCCTAGGACCCTCGTTGCGTTGCCAATTCCCACGCTTTGGGGGTAGTGACGCTTTCACGACGCTACCCCCAGCAAAACCCGATGATCAATGACCTCAGATGGCTCTCAACCGCTACAGGTTCAACGGATGCTCTTCATAATCCTTAACCTTGTCGTAAACCTGTATGCGGTGGCGCGCAGCCTCCAGCACAAATATGCGGTCCTGTTTATCAACCTTCACCGCCACCGGTCTGCGGAACCTCCACTCCGGTTCCAGATTAACCCGTCGGCGCGCCTTGATGATGTCCGGGTTGGCGTCGATATAGTCTGTGTCCAGGGCGACGGGTCCTGTGCATCTCCCACCAGGGTAGCGATAAACCTGCCATCGGATGCGTATACCTGGACCCGGTGATTTCCCCAGTCCGTAACGTAGATATCCCCTTCTGAATCCACGGCTACACCAGTTGGCCCATGCAGGTCGCCCACGCCAGAAGCAGAAACCTCCAGCTTCAGCCGGAAGTTGCCGTCCGCGTCGAATTTCTGCACACGGTTGTTCTTCCAGTCGGCCACAAAGATGTTGCCCGCGTCGTCCACGCACAAACCCCAGGGCAGGTTGAACTCGCCGTCGCCATTTCCGTGTCGCCCGAAGCCGCCCAGGAACGTCCCGTCCTTGGTAAACCTCTGCACCCGGTGATTCATGCCATCGACTACCACCAGGTTATCGTCCGGATCGAAGGCCAATCCGCTCGGTCCACTCAGCTGGCCTTCAACGCTGCCGGATTCGCCCCAACTGCACAGGAAAGCATCATCTGGCCCGAAAACCGAAATCCGGTTCAAATGATCGTCGCAGGCGTAGACGTTACCGGCTCGGTCCAGCGCAATCGAGCGCGGCCAGACAAACTGCCCGTCGCCCCGGCCAAAAGAACCGTACTGTCCCAGAAACTGGTGATCCAGCGTTACCTTGCTGATGCGCTGACCCAATTCTTCCGCGCCCCGATTGATCACGTAAACCAGCCCGTCGTCGGCCAGCGCGAAATCTTGCGGCGTCCAGAATCCCTGCCCGGACATGCCGTACATCCCCAGGCAAAAACTGTAGTCGAACACCCTTCCGGCGGCTACTGTAGTAAGCATTTTTGACCTCCCCAAAAACTAAGTCGGTGCGGCCTACACAAAAGCCAGTTGCTCAAACTTGCCACCAACGATGGGCACCGCATCCAGTCCCAACCACTGTTCGATGACCGTCGAATACAGCCCGCGGAAGTCGTAGTTGGGTTCCAGATCGCCTTGGCTCAGGTCCTCCGGCTTCAGCGACGGATAGGTTCCGTACATCCCGCCCTTCACCTGGTTCCCGATTACGAAGGCAGCTCCACCGGCGCCGTGGTCGGTCCCGGTGCCGTTGTCCTTGACCCGGCGGCCAAACTCGGTGAACAGCACCATGATGAGATTGTCGCCCGCGTCATGCTCTTGCAGATCATCGAAGAAGTCGCTGATCGCCCGCGACATATCGATCCAGAGTTTCGTGTGCATCGGCGGCTGATTGAAATGCGTGTCGAAACTGCCGTGCTGAGTGTAGAAAAGTTGGGTCCCCAGGTCAGCCAGATATACTTGCGCGATATCCCGCAGATATTTGGCCACCGGAGTTTCCGCATATTCCACCGTGGAGGAATACTGCTCCGGGGCAGACCGGATGATGTCCGCGCCTTCCAGCGCATCGCGACCGGTTTGGCCCAGGTAATCCATCACCGGGCCCGTGCCAATGGTGGGCGCGTACATGCGGGCAAACCGGTCCAGGATCTTGTTCCGGTCTTCTTCAGCTGCTACCCCGGGCACGCTCGACAACACGCCGTAAGACTCCAGCCCGGACACCGAGGTTATAGGAACCCCGCGCAACGCCAGCGCCCGCGGCAATCCCTGGCCGAAGTTCACGCCTTTCAGCACGTTCTCGCCGCGCGGGTCAAGATCGCGAATGACCTTCCCTGCCCATCCTTCGGTACCCACCACATCGGGCTCACACGTATGCCAGATATCCATGGATCGGAAGTGCGAACGCGGCGAGTTTTCGTATCCGATACCGTGGATGATGGCCACTTTCCCTTCGTCATATAGCTTCTTTATCGGCCCCATGTTGGGGTTGAAGCCCAGCTCGCCGTCTATTGGCAGCACCTGGTCCTCCGGTATACCAACCTTGGGACGGTTATCCCGATAGTGCGGGTTGGTATACGGAATGATCGTATTCAGGTAGTCGTTGGCCCCCGTCATCTGCAGAACCACCACCACCGGGTCTTTCTTGGTCGTCGCCATGTTATTCCTCCCGTACTTTGCCGGCATCCCACTCAATCGGTGCGATCAGGCGAATTGATAATCTCGGGATGCAGCAATCAGAGCCAACATCACTCCGGCTCTTTTTTCCGATTCACGAATGTTGGCTTCGGTGTCCCAGAGCAGGTCTCCGCCTTCGCGGGCCATATCCAGCAGTTCCACCCGAGTAGCCTCACTCACTTCCAGGGGACCCACCAGGTCCAGGCACCCGTTAACGAAGCCACCGGGATCCAACGGTCCCATGTTCCGCAGGTCGCTTATGATCGACTGAACACCGGGCAGGGTTACATCACCCAACAGGTTCGCGGCGAAGTTAACCCGCCGCACCAGGGCGCCGCCGTCGATCCATTCGGTGCCGGTGTGCCAACTTTCCACGCTGGGGGGATTCAACAACTCCTGCCCCTGGTACGCGCATTCGAAAGCCAGAGAGTTGAATCCGGGTCTGGGACCCTCGAAGTTGCCCGCCAGCCGCGCCGTCCCAATGACCAGTTCAGCAGGACTCTTTACCCGCGAGAACCTGGCGTCTTTGAAAAACTTCGAGTTGAACATCACCCTGAGCATCGCACGGATATCGCCGTCAGACTCATCGTAGGCTGCTATCAACTGGTCAATCGCATCGGGATCGTTGGGCGGCGTGATATTCCAGCTCGGAACCTGCGGCTCGTCCGCCACAAAGAAGTTGTACAAATGCCGTGCCAGGAATCTGGCCGTGGCCGGCTGCTGGACCACGATATCAATGACGTCCTGTCCATCCAGATTCCCAGTTTGTCCCAGGAACGTCTTTTCACCGTCGTCATGATCTTCCGGACGATATTCGAAACTCCAGTAGAACCTGCCCAGCGGGTTGCGCGGGATTTTAGGCCCGATCGTCCAGCCGGTAAACGCCCGCGACGCTTCTTTTATATCGTCTTCCGAATAGTTCCCCACGCCCATCGAAAACAGTTCCAGAAGCTCCCGGCCCCAGTTTTCGTTGATCGCGCCGCGATGGTTTCCGTTATTGTCCAGCCAAAAAATCATGGCGGGATTGCGGGCCAGTTCAACCAGCAGGTCTCTGAATTTCCCCAGCCCAAACTCGCGGAACATCACGATCTGCTGGGTCAACTCCGGGGGATTGTCAACTTTGGAATTGCCGGTTGCGAATAGCTGGTGCCAGAACAGCGCCATCTTTTCTTCCAGCGGCCGTTCGGTGTTTAACATCCTGTAAACCCAATCCGCCTGGTTCAAGGGAGGACCCAACGCCCCCTCGTATCCTGGATGGAACCGGTACAACAGGTCTTCGTCAATTGGGTCAAACCGTTCGGGATGCAATAACTCTTCGACCGTGGCTTCATACCCCTTGTCGACCCGTTCCTGCAACTCCCCACGGGCAGATCCAAACCCGGCTCGACGCATCAGGTGACCCATCAGCGCAATATCTTCTCGACTGGCCATTGGTTTCCCTCCTGTCGGGATTGCTCCATTGGCAAACTTCTTGCCAGAATACCATGTCTATGTTGCAGCCATGCTACGAAATCCGCGCACTACTGTCAAGAAAAGCACCTATTATTGGCGCCTTGAATCAGTCTGCTCGCAGACTGATTGCGTAAGTCTTTCAGCACACCCACAGTCCCCGACTGGACCCTTGTTAGTACGCGATTTCTCCGCGCCGTCCAAGCCAGAGTGCCTGAACGTATCTGATGCCTCGCCTCGCTGTGCCGGCTACCATTGTGAATGGCATTCGCGCACGTGGTGGGAGGCACCGGATTCATCCGTTATAATTCAGCCAAATGGAACGTACGGAGACAGGTGAATAGCAATGGAAGTTGCCAGCGCGGTGTTCATCATTACCGGTTCGGCCACCGGCCTGGGCGCCACAGTTGCCCAACGCCTGGCCGAAAAAGGCGGCCGGGTCGTCATCAACTACACTCGGAGTGAAACCGAGGCCAGGGCCACGCTGCAGGTTTGCGAAGACCTCGGCGCGGAAGCCATCCTGTGTCAGGCCGACGTGTCGGTGGACGACGATTGTCGCCGTATGGCAGCGGCAGCGTTGGAACGGTGGGGAAGAATCGACGGCCTGGTGAACAACGCCGCCCAGTCCGTGATTGTCCCCCACGCCGACCTGGAGGGCCTGTCTGCCGGGGACTTCGAGCGCATTTTCGCGGTGAATGTCATCGGCGCCTACCAGATGGTCCGGGCGGTAACGCCGGCCATGCAACAGCAGGGTCGGGGCGCCATCGTCAACATTTCGTCTGGTTCGGCATTTACCGGCACCGGCAGCTCCATCGCTTACGCGGCGTCCAAGGCGGCGTTGAACGTGATGACCTACTCGCTCGCCCGAGCGCTGGCGCCGGAAATCCGTGTGAACGCGGTGTGTCCCGGCGTAATGCAGACTCGTTGGTGGCGGGAAGGCCTGGGCGAAGAGGGTTACGAAGCCTTCATCAGCCGCTACGCAGAATCGGCTCCGTTGAAAACCGCCGGCACCACCGAAGCGGTCGCCGATCCCGTGATCTGGCTGCTGGAAGGGGCGGAGCAAGTTACTGGCGAAACCATCATGGTCGATGCCGGCTCGCACCTGGGACCTTCGCCGCGCCGATAATTTGACAACCCCCACCGCCACGACCTGGCCGCTGGACAGCAGCTGTGCCCTGGGAGACGCCGGATGATACAACTAACGCAAGAGATGACGCGATTGATCAACCACGCCCGCGAGGACGGTTACCCGTGCATCGTTGGCACGGCCTCCAGCGACGGCGTTCCAAACTGCGGATACATCGGCACGGTGCTGACAGTCGGCGACGACTCCCTCATGTATCGCGACCGCACCGGTCGGGTCCCCCTCGACCACATCGAGGAAAACCCCAGGGTCATCGTCCTTTTCCGCAATACCGAAAGGGATGCCGGATGGAAATTCCGTTGCACCGCTACGGTCCATCGCGAAGGCGAGGTGTTCGAGGAGATGATCGACCACCTCGTTCAGTCCGGGTTGGTAACGGATCGCTATCTGCAGGACGGCCAGGGGGCCATCGTAGTGCTGCGGATCGACCAGGTGCTCAGTCTTTACGGAGAGGTTTTGCAAGAGCGCGTACCCGGCCAACGCTGGTAATCCCCGCGGGCATACCCCAGCGGCGTCCGTCACCTGTGCCAAACCTCGATTCTCACAGTTGGCGGCAGGAACGGCGTTACTTCCCGAACAACGCCGCAATCCGTTCCCCGACGATGCCGTCCTCTCCCGGGTTGAGCCCAAACACGTGGATCGTGATGAAGTCCTCGTCGTCTCGAACCCGAGTCCAGATGGGTGGCGCTCCATCCTTCAGGCGATCCCGCAAATCGAAAATGGTCATGCCCGCAACGGCCGGGTCAACCCACAGGTTCAGGCCATAGGCCTGATGGCCGATCACGTTGTCGATCAACTCGCCCCTCAGCCCTGGAATGCCCGCCACTGCTTGCAATATATTCCGGCTCCGTCGCTCCGCGTCAGCCAGCCGATCTTCGTGGTTCGTGGTCATCCAGTGCCGGACCGCGGCCACAGCGCCGATCATCTCCTGACGGTCAACCTTTTGTGGCCGGCCCACTCCCCGCACCCGGCGGCCTTCATAACTGGCGAACGAATGTAAACCTATCTTGCGGATCATCTCTTGGGAGCCCAGGGCCAGACCCACAGATTGAGTCGCACCGAGATACTTGGCGGCAATGCACTGAAAATCCGCCCCCATCCTGACGTACTTGCCAAAGTTTTCCAGCGGATAGATCTGCCCGGCGGCATCCACTGTCACCAAAACTCCACGAGCGTGGGCGATGGCAATGGTCTTCTCCAGGGAAAGCGCGTCTGGATCCTGAGCCTGCTCTACCGCGTAGTAGTGGACCGCGGCGGTGTTGGGACCGATCGCCTTCTCCAGGTCCTCTTCGGTGGTCCCTTCTTCTGAGCCAAACATCACCAGCCTGGCGCCGGCCAGTTCCAGGCAACGGTCATACCAGTAGCGCTGACGGGTCTGGATAAGGATTTCGTTTCGCATACCGGCGGTGTCGGGCAGTTGCTGGATCATGTCGTCGTCATCGCCAGCCATGGCCGCCGCAGTAGCCAGCATCAGGGCGGAGCCAGCGCCGGAGGTGATGTAGGCTGCGGGTACGTCGACCATCTCGGCAATGGCCGCTCCAGCCCTCTCCTGCAATTCCATGAGCGGGATATAGGCTCCGTCGGCCCGCGCCATGGCCTCTTTGACTTCAGGTATGGGAGTTGAACCCCCCAACATGGTCACGCTGCCGGTCGCGTTAATCACCGGAGTTGCACCCAGCTCCCTGTAGATATCGCCCCAATCAGCAGTCACCATTATTTATCTCCTTACCCACCGGGCCATTGGCCCAATAACCACGTGCCAGTAACCTTTCCCGCATGATAGCCACCGCCTTCCGTCATGTCCAGACGAAGACCTCACCCCCTGTCATGCGAGGAGCGTCAGCGACGTGGCAATCCCGTTGCCTCTGCCCCCGGTGCGACCCCTATTCGATCCCATCGTCGCCCATGTCAAACGGGGTCGTCCAATCGGCAGATAGTTTGTTGATATACTGGCCGACGTCGTTGCTCATCCCAACCGATGACCAGCTGAATCCCCCGGGGGCTCGATACCTGCCAACCGACGGCTTGGAAGAATATGGGAACCTATGCTGTGGCCGTTGATGTTGGCGGCACCTTTACCGACATCGTGCTTTGCGACCTCGAATCCAACGCCCAGCAGGTGTACAAGACGCCTTCCACGCCAGACGACCCGTCCCTGGGATTCATGACCGGCCTGGCCCAGATTCTGGCAGCCAGCGGTGTCACCCCCGCCGAAGTGGTTCACATCTTTCATGGCACCACCATCGCCACCAACTCAGTCCTGGAAAACAAGGGCGCACCCGTTGGTTTGTTGGTAACCGACGGCTTCAAATACGTTCTGGAGATTGCCCGCCACGGCACGCCGCGCCTTGCCAACCCCAACACCTGGGTGAAACCGGAACGTCCCGTTCGTCCGCGGGATTGTCTGGAGGTGGCAGAACGAACTAGTTTTGAAGGACAAATTCTAGTACCCCTGGACGAGCCGGCAGTGCGCGACGGCGCTCGCCACTTCCAACGCGCCGGAGTTTCCACCGTCGCAATCGCTTTCCTGCACTCCTACGCCAACCCAACTAACGAACGGCGAGCCAGAGAGATTCTGTTGCAGGAGCTTCCCAACGTCGCCGTTTCCCTGTCATCCGAAGTATTGCCCGTGTACCGGGAGTACGAACGCACCATCACCACCGTCCTCAATGCGTACGTCACACCCCGAGTCAGCACATACATCGACAACCTGAAGCAGTCCCTGCGTTCCTTCGGCACTGATGCGGCGTTTTCGATCATGAAGTCCAACGGCGGAATCATCGGCGCTGATGTAGCGGTGGAACAACCGGTGTACACGGCGCTGTCCGGTCCCGCCGCCGGGGTCATGGCCACGTTGCAGATAGCGGAATCCACCGGCGTCCAGGATTGCATCTCCTTTGACATGGGTGGTACCAGCACCGACGTGTCTCTGATAAAACAGCGCGAGCCGACCGTTACTCTAAACGGCAAGCTGGGCGACTGGCCGATTCAACTTCCCATGCTTGATATCGCCACCATCGGATGTGGCGGTGGAAGTATCGCCGAGGTCTCGCCCTACGGCAGCCTTACGGTCGGGCCAGCCAGCGCCGGCGCAGACCCGGGGCCGGCATGTTACGGTCGTGGGTCCACCCGTCCCACCGTAACCGACGCCAACCTGGTGCTGGGACGTGTGAATACACAGATTGCCGGTGGGGCAACTCACGCTGGACGCCGATGCCGCCGCACAAGCGATCAACGATGCAATCGCGTCTCAACTGGGCCTGGACATTCCTACGGCCGCCAACGGCATCCTGAAAATCGCCAACAACGTGATGGTCGGCACAATTCGCAACATCAGTGTGGAACGGGGCCACGACCCCCGGGACTTCGCGCTGGTGGCCTATGGCGGCGCCCGGTCCCATGCACGCAATCGACGTGGCAAACATGTTGGGAATCGAGAAGGTCGTGGTTCCACCGCACCCCGGGATCGCGTCCGCTTATGGATTGCTGGTCGCCAAATTCAAAAATGATTACGCCAAAACCTTCCTGCAGCAGCCTCCTGACTACGACCTGGACGGCATGGACACGGTTTGGTCAGAATTGGAGGCGCAAGGGCGAGCGTGGTTGCACAGGGAAGGCGTTCCGGTCAACAGCCACAGCATCACGCGATCCGCTGACCTCAGGTACGCCCACCAGGGTTCGGAATTGACGCTCCAATACAGCCATTCGCGGGTGAACCGCGAGGGCCTGGAATCGATCCTGCAGGATTTCCACCAGCAGCATGAACAGCTCTACGGTTTTGCCCTGGAGCAGCAGGTGGAGATAGTGACCTTGAGGGTTACGGCATCAGGCCAGGTTGGGAATATCACCCTGCCCAGGATTCCGGGTTGGAGCGCCAGAGCGGATCAGGCCATCATTGAACGTCGCGAAGTGTATTTCGAGGAATCTCGAGGATTTGTCCCCTGCGCCATCTATCCGCGCGATAGCCTGAAACCGGGAGCAAAACTGATGGGGCCGGCAATACTGGAAGGCATGGACTCCACGGTCGTGATCAATCCAGGCTGGGAAACCCAGGTCGACGAATACGGCAATTGCATCATGCGAGCCCAAGGAAACCGACGATGACAGTACCCGATACCCACGCTTACACGAGTCCTCCGGAATCGGAGAAAAATGCCGGGCCTGTGGATCCGGTAACACGTCAGTTGATTCGCGGCTCCCTCCGGGCTGCCCGGCTGGAGTGCGAATTGATCATTGAACGCACCGCCATGTCCGCATTTATCCGGGAGAAAAAGGACTACACCGTCAGCTTCCTGGATGCCAGGGGGCACGAAATCTACGGCGAAACGATGGGTAGCGACATCCTCGGCTGTGTCTGGGAATATTATCCCGCCGAGACCATGCGCCCCGGAGACCTTTACTGGTACAACGACCCTTACCTTTCCAACGGGAGTATCACTCACACCCCTGACATGGTATTTATCGCGCCGGTTTTCTACGACGGGGAAATGGTGGCATATTCCCATTCCTTCGCGCACTTCTGGGACCTGGGCGGCTCCCGGCCCGGTAGCATCGGTCCCGCCAACACCGAAATCTTCCATGACGGAACCCTGGTGCCGCCGATCAAAATCATTGCCAATGGCACATTAAACGACGAGGCATACCGTATCATCCTCCGAAACTCCAGATACCCTGACCTTCTGGAAGGCGACTCCAGGGCATTGATGTCTGCGGCTCGGCGTGCTCAGGAACGGCTGCTCGAGATGTTCGACCGCTTCGGCAAGGACACCATGCTAGCTGCCATTGATGAGGACCAGGCAGACACCGCCCGGTTGGTGCGGGAAAAAACGCTGGAAATGATCCCCGAGGGCGAATACGCCGTTCGCGATTACATGGACCACGCCGGCGTTGGCGACCAGTGGCATTCATTCCACCTGAAGCTCAGCCGCCGGGGAGAGGAAGTGCTCCTCGACGCCACCCTCAGCGACGACCAGGCCGAGGGATCGATCAACTTTATCGCCAGCGACGGAGCCCTAAAAGCCTATTTCGGCCAGTACTTCCACCAGTTTGATTCGTCGCTGCTCGCCAACCACGGATTGCTGGCAGGGATAGACGACGTGCAGCTCAGACCCGGCAGCATCCTGCGGCCTGAATGGCCCGCCGCCCTCGGGTGCCGTGCCCACACCTTCACCAAGCTCAAAAGCGCCGTGCGGGCCGTTTTGGCCCAGGCCACCGACGGCATGGTGATGGCCAGCGCCGCGGTCTATGTCATCGCTTACTGGAGGATGAAAGACCGGAACACCGGAGCGTGGCTGCTATGTACCGACGGCATAGCCGTCGGCCATGGAGCCCGTCCATTCGGCGACGGCCTCGACGCCATCTACCAGCGGCACAACGAGAATTACCCCGGTGAATTCATGGAGATGGAATACCCGCTTCGATTGGAACGCTCCATTTCCACCGACTCCGGCGGCCCGGGCAAGTATCGGGGAGGCTGTGGGGTCGTCAGGGACGTACGTTTGCTTGCCGACGAGGGTACTTTCGGTCTCCGGGTCGAAAACAATCTGTTCCCGGCGTGGGGTGTTGCCGGTGGAATGGGAGGCGGCGTTTCAAGGGTCGTGATGAATCCCGGGACTCCCGATGAACGCGAAATCCGGGCGTTCTCTGACGACAATCGTTGGAAGTGCGGTGATCTGGTGAGAATCTGCACCGCCGGGGGCGGCGGTTGGGGAGACCCGCTGGAAAGAGATGCCGAGCGCGTACTGGACGATGTCAAAGACGGATTCGTATCACTGGAATCCGCTCTCTCCAGTTACGGCGTCGTCATAGACCCCGAGGCATTGCAGTTTGACGCGCCAGGCACCGAAGCCAAACGGATGGGTATGTTGAGCGCGCGGGGAGACACCAAACTTTTCCACCGGTTCAACTACTTTAATACCGAGGAAGAAGAATACCAGTGGGTCAACCAGAACATGCCCCGATGATTTCGCCAGAACTCAACGCCCCGACTCCTCTCACGCGTACGCGCTTTAATCTGTCATTGCGAGGAACGCAGCGACGTGGCAATCTCCATGAGGCTGAACACACGTCGACGAACCGCCGTTACTACCGCGACGAGGTTGCCATACCCGCATCGAGTACAGTCGCGAAGACAAATCGGCAACCGGTTCCTCACCCCGGTCTGAACCACTGGCCGAAACGAAAATCCGAATTTGTCCGTGTCGGTGTCCTTTGTAGGACGCGCATCTACGTCACCCTAAAATGCGCCTCCGTGGGCACGCAATCGGTCCCGTTGATGGGAACCATGTCCTGCGGACATGCGGAGAACGCAACCACGCAGTCCATCTCCGCGCGCAGCACCACGTAATCGCCCGGCTTCGAGACAGGCGGCTCGAATCCTACCGTGCCATCCGCCGCCACTGGTATGTTCATAAACAGATTCCAGGGACTGGGCGTCTCCGGTGGAGTGAGACCAACTTCCAACAGGGCGGTCGCCAGGTTGTCGGTGCAATTATCATGGTATTCCTCACAGCCCAGAAGTTCGTAACGGTAGCGGTCGCATGCGGCCAGCAGCGTATCGTGTATCCCGCCCGACGTGTCCTCAACCAGCGTCAATATTGGCCGGCGGTGGTTGGTCACCATGGACTGTCCCACCAAAGGCATGATGCGGCCAAGTGTCGTGCGGGTATGCTCCATCGACATAAACTCAGTCTCGTCGTCCCGGTTGAACGCCCACGTATCGACCACTTGCTGCCCGTGGGTATTGATGACTCGAATGTGCTGACCCCTGGCGGCGACGGTTGCCTTGCCGCTGCGGGCCGGGATCGTGATCAATGGCATCGTCATGTTGGGTGTTGTCATCTTGCGTCCCGCGTTCCTGAGTAGTGGCCGAGTCGTCAGGCTACGCCACGAACTCCCTCCATACCTCTGGCAGCCTGGACATTGCTTCAGCCGGCAGCAGGCCTTTCGCTGCATAGTCCACCGACTGCTCCAGATGATCCATGCTGGAATAGCCCACCAGCACCGTCGAAACTTCAGGCTTGCTTAGCGCAAACCGGATCGACGCTTCCACCATGTTGCTCGCGTCACCGTCGTCTATCAGGAAACCGAACCTGCTCCCCCGGCTCAAGTCCTGCTGATAGTCCCGTCCCGAACCAATCGGCGCCACGGTCGGTACGGCGACCGGGTGTCGCGTTGGCTCGCCGTTGAGAGCGCCCGCAGCCAGCACGCGGATCACCAGCGTGCCCATCCCGCTGGCCGATGCCCGATCGATCAGGCTCCCAAAGTTCGGCATGTCGAAATCAGGCGAAACCGAATTTCCGGCGCTGGGGTTCACCAGGTTGTACACCGATTGGATAGTTTGTAGCGCTCCCGAATCGATGACGCGCAGCAGAGAATCCGTCTCCCCTACCGCCGTCATACCCCAGAACCGGACCTTGCCCGCATCCCGCAGCGTATGCAGCGCTTCGACGACTTCGCCCAGCGCCTCTTCCGGCGTAACTGCCCCACCCTCCGGAAGTGATGCAACGTGATTGTGCATTTGAATCAGGTCGACCTGCTCCCGCTGCATTCGTCCCAGGCTCGCATCCACCGACGCGATGACGTTGCCTTTGATCTCACCCGCGTTGTGCGTGGTCACGCGGAACTTGGTACCTACGTAAACGTCCGCCGACAGTTCATTCAGTACCCGCCCCAGGTTGGTTTCGGACTGCCCGTCACCGTAGGACGAAGCGGTGTCGAAGTAGTTGATCCCCAACTCCATGGCCCGGGCGACTGCCTTCACCTGGTCGCCATGCTCGCCCCGGATCATCAACCCGCCCACGTTGCCGCAGCCGAATCCTATCTCCGATACGTTCAGGCCAGTCCTGCCCAGGGGTCTGTATTCCATGCCGTCCCTCCAGTCGATCCGATGTGACTTCATCATATTCCCGCAGCAGGCTCCAGACAATCGCCCTTGCACCCGGCGACCCGTTAACGACGCTCAGATCCTCATGGACCGAAGGAACAACCACGCAGCGTTGACCACACCCAGGGCGGGGAATACACTGCACCGGTTGTTGGCAGTTCACCAATTGCGCCAAAACGCTCAGGAATCGTTACGAGACCAACCCAAATGGCACAGGATTCATCAGAAGATTCTCCCGAGCAGGTGGTGGCATACCGCTGGGTGGTCATGGGTATCTGGCTCACCGCCAGCGTTTCCGGCTTCATGATTATGTCCACCATCGGCATCCTGTTGCCGGCCATCAGCGCCGAGTTGAGTCTCTCCCCGTTCCAGCAGGGAATGCTGGGATCCGCCGCCTACTGGGGCAATATGGCTTTGGCCATCCCAATGGGCTGGTGGACTTCCCGCTTCGCTCCCAAAATCCTGACCACCATTACCATGATCCTGGGAACCCTGTCTCTGGTCGCCCAGGCCGTCTCCCCCGTGTTTGCCGTGCTGATCCTGGGCCGTGTGGCCTTCGGTATTAGCGTAGTTGCCCGTCAACCCGCCCGCGCCTTCCTGACCCAGCAATGGTTCCCGGCCCGCCAGGTTGTTCTGGTCAACAGCATCTCCAACGCAATGTTTGGTTTGGTAGTGGGTGGTGGCGTGGCTGCCTCGCCTTTCATCCTGATGGCCCTGGGAGACAGTTGGCGTTCCACCCTGTTCACCTTCGTTGGGCTATTCGCGGTGATGACCATCCTTTGGATGATATTTGGCCGGGAAAGGGTTACCTCAGAATACCGCGAGCGCCTGGCATCCCAGGATGCCAGCATCCTGAAGGGTACGCTCCGGTATCGGGACCTGTGGATCGGCGGCCTGGGTTTCGTGGGCGCAACCACGGCCTGGTCCGGTTTCCTCAGTTTCTACCCGACCCTGATGTTGGAGGCCCACCAGATGTCCCTGGTCTGGTCCGGCGGCATCCTTGCGCTGGGTATCTTCATGGGCGGCATCTGCGGACTGGGCTTCGGGTGGGTCGTAATGGTGTCCGACCGGGGCCGGACCATCCTGCTGACCACCGGCGCAACCATGGCCGCTACTTTCATGGCAATGACGTTGACCGGCTCCATCCCCATCCTGCTGGTACTGACCTTCGTGAACGGCATAGCTTGGGGGTTCTGGCCGGTACTCTACTCCGTACCGTTTCACCTGCCGGGAATCCGCCCCCGGGAGCTCGCCGTCGGACTGGCTTTCATCCAGATGTCCAGCTCGGCGGGTATAACTCTCGGCCCGTTGGCCACGGGCCTGCTGCAGCAGGCAACCGACGACCTCGGACTGTCCCTGGCCATCGTCAGTTTCGCATCCCTCTCCCTTTGCGTGGCAGGTTTGGTGATGAAACACGGTCTGTCCGGGAGGGTGCCATCTCCCGAACCCGCTGCGTCGGCCACGGGAGACTGATCCTCGCCAGCACCGCCACCCATCCTGCCATCACGTGCGGCCCGTATTCCGTCGTTGCCGTGAACTTCCGTCGTTACAAAACGTCCTTCAGCCGGACTGCGTTGACACCCTCTATAGCCCTGTTTACACTCGCCACGCAACGCCGATTACAAACCAGTCGGAGGATACAGGCCATGCCAGACCTTCAAGACCTCTTCGCCCAGGTCGAAGCTGCTCAGGACGATATAATCGCGCTGGAGCAGGCTCTCGTCCGAATTCCATCGGTCAACACCGGCTTCATGCCCACCGGGGACGAGACCCCGGTCTGCGAATTGGCTCGCGACTGGCTGGCCCAGGACGGCGTCGAGTCTGAGATCCTGGAGTCGGCGCCCAACCGCGGCAACTTGATCGCCAGGGTGGAGGGCAGGTCCGGCAAGGCCGGCCTCATGTTCATGTCCCACACCGACGTCGTGCCCGTGGAAGACGATTCCAAGTGGCGGTTCCCGCCCTTCAGCGCCACCATTGCAGACGGCCGAATCTTCGGTCGTGGTGCATCAGACTGTAAGGGGCTGCTCACAGCTCAGCTGATGGCCGTCCGTCTGCTGAGGCGAAACGGCATCGAGTTGCAAGACGGGTTGATCCTTGCAGCCGGCGCAGACGAGGAACACGGCGGCAGGTACGGGTTCGGTTGGCTTGCCGACAACCATCCGGAGAAGCTGGCCGCTCCATTCGCCGTAAACGAGGGTGGCGGCACGCCCATCCAGGCGGCAGGAGCCCTGACCTACGTTTTGGGCGTCGGAGAAAAAGGACGTCTGCAGGTCGAAATCGACGTTAAGGGGGTCAGCGCCCACGCATCGCTGCCCTGGCAGGGAACCAACGCGCTATACCGTTTGAGCAGCGCCCTCAGCTCCATAGAAAACTATGATCCGGATCGCGATACATCCACCGACCTGTTCGATCATCTATCGACTTTCGCGATTGAACATCAGGCCTCTCCGGCCAATGTGGACGACATCATCGCCGAGATCGAGCCGTCCAACCCCCGTTTCGCCTCCATGCTCCGGGCACTGTCGCGCATGACTCTGACTCCCACCATGGTTAGAGGAGGCATCAAGTCCAACAGCGTTCCCGAGTCCATCCGGCTCACGTGCGACGTGCGCACCCTGCCTCACCAGGACGAGCAATACGTTAGGGACCAGCTTGATGAGGTATTGGCCGGTATACCCGGCGTGTCTTATGAAATCGACTACATGGCTCGTCCCAACTCCTCGCCCATTGAGTCTGCGTTGGCGACCAGCATCCGGACCATCACCGCCAGTGCCCTGGAACGGGACGACATCCAGTGGGTGCCCGCCATCAGCAACGGTTTCACCGACTCCAGGTTCACCCGCCCCCTGGGGACAGTAACCTATGGGTTTTCCGGCTCTCACCCCGACGACGATCCCATGCTGAACTACACCCACGGCACCAATGAGTCTGTGGGCATAAAGAGCCTGGTAAGCGGCACCAAAATTATGCTGGGCCTGGCGTGTGACATGCTGGCGGTGAAGTAACCAGACCCGTCCGTCAACGGTGACGGAACATGGGCCGGGTGCCCGCCAACCGTCGCCCCCATCATTGCGAGCAGCGAGCTTGCCCTGGTGAATGTCAGAAGCGCAACGACGTGGCAATCTGCGAGGGCCTTTAGTCTCGCTTGCCAAAATGCCCGGGTTCCGCCCAGAGTCGGGGACACCGCTTTACACAAAACTCCGGGAGATAGCCGATGTCCTACCGCAACCTGAACCTGGAACGTGACGATCAGATCGCCGTGATCACTCTGAACCGTCCGGATAAACTCAACGCCATCAACCGCGAGCTCCATTTGGAGATGATGGAAGCTTGCCGGGAGATTAAGGACGACGACAGCATTCGTGTGGTCATATTCACCGGGGCCGGGCGGGGCTTTTGTTCCGGAGCCGACTTGTCCGCCGACCGCTCGCCGGATCCACACGCCAGCCGGAGCGACCGCCTCGACGAATACAACTGGGTTGGCCGGCAGGCGTTGATGGTCTCGCGAGGACTGGACAAACCCACCATCGCCGCGGTCAACGGCGTCGCTGCCGGCGCCGGCATGGGACTGGCGCTGGCCTGCGACATGCGCGTGGGTTGCGAAAACACCCGGTTCAAGACCGTTTTCATCGAGCGAAGTTTGAGCCCGGATTCCGGTTTGTCCTACTTCCTGCCGCGCATCGTGGGCGCCAGCCGCGCGTTCGACCTGATCTTCACCAGCCGCAGCGTAGACGCCGAAGAAGCTTGGCGGCTCGGTTTGGTGGATCGAATGACGACGTCCGACAATCTGCTGGAAGAGGCCAAAGCGCTGGCCAGTCAAATCGCGTTCTGGCCGCCGGTGGCAATGCAAATGTCCAAACGGGCGTTGCAACGTGGCATTGACGCCGATCTCGAAGACCAGCTTGAATACGAGACGCACAGCATCGTATTCGCCAGGAGAGCGCCCCTCGACGTTGATGAGGCCGCGGCCTCCTTCCGCGAGCGCCGGCCGCCGATTTTCACCGGGGAGTAGACACCCGGCACGGCTGTTTGTTGGTATCCCGATATCAACGACGATTGCCAGAATAAACCGGATAAACATAGACCCTTTCAGTCATCAAATTGACATGTTTTTCTAGTAGACGTACACTCAGAGACGAGAATATTGCCCATGTCGTTGCATGGGCTTTTTGAAATAGACGATTATCACCGTTGGAGGTAACTGTATGCCAGAATTTGATTTGGTGATTCGTGGCGGAACCGTGGTCGATGGCACAGGACTTCCCCGCCTCCGCGCTGATGTTGGGATCAAGGACGGGCGGGTGGCCATGATCTCTGGACGCATCAACTCCGGAGGCGCCCGAGAGCTGGACGCCAGCGGCTGTATCGTGGCGCCGGGGGCCGTAGACCTCCACACCCACTACGATGCGCAACTCAATTGGGACCCGTACGCATCCCTGTCCGGATGGTTCGGGGTAACCTCCCTCACCGTTGGTCAGTGCGGATTTGGCTTCGCTCCCACCCGACCGGAAGATCGGGACCTCAATATGCGCATGATGAACCGCATCGAAGCAATACCGCTGGAATCCATGCGGTTGGGGATGCGATGGGACTGGGAAACCTTCCCTGAATACATGGACAGCCTGGACAAACAGGGTCTGGGCGTAAACGTTGGCGCGCTGGTGCCATTCTCGCCCCTGCGTGGCTACGTACTGGGCATGATACCGGCCCGGGAACGAACCTCCGTAACCGACGCCGAGTTGAACCAGATGAAACAGATCCTCCACGACTCCATGAAAGCCGGGGCGTTCGGGTTGTCCGCGGACAAGAACCTGGAGGACCGGCCGGAGGATGGCAGCTGGTTGCCCAGCCATGTGGCATCGCCGGAGGAATTCTACGCCCTGTCCCAGGTGTTGAGGCAGTTCGGCGTGGGGCACCTGGGATGGACCATCGGCATTTCCGACGACCGCCCCGCCCAGCGGGAAATGTTGGCAGAAATGGTCCGAATGAGCGGACGTCCCTTGCATGTGGTTCTGGGAGACGAAGAAGGTTACGAATGGCTGGAAGAAGTCCGGCGAGAGGGCCTTCCCGTCCTGGCGCAGCAGGGCTCAGTGCCTACCATCGCAGAGTTCAAGCTCTCCGAATACAACCTGTTCGACTACATGCCCCACTGGGTCCAACCGCTCGTGGGTTCCAAAGAAGAGCGCATCGCCAAGCTTTCTGAAGACGGCATACGCGACGGCATGAAGCGCGCAGTCTCGATCGCGCGCCCCAGCCCGGACCGATTGGGCGCAGGTGCACTGGTCTGGTGGGGTGGTGCGTTGCCCTGGAACGCAACCTCAAGAACGTACGACACGCGTTTGTCCATTGCCGACATCGCTGACAGGCTGAGGCAACACACACCACTGGACACCGTTCCTGGACATCGCTCTGGATGAAGACCTGGAGGAAACCGAGTGCGCTCACCCGCGGGCGGGCAGGGAGACGAAGCCCGGGCGAAAGGCTGGTCAATCCCTATGATGCATATCTCGGTGTCCGACGGAGGCGGGCCGGGCGGCGCTCATACAGGTTCTGGTCAACACACAGCGTGTGGCCCGTCTATTTCCTGGGTCACTGGTTCGCGCAAACGCGGAACTGATGATCTGGAACAGGCCACACAGAAAATGAGCGCGCTACCCGCCGCGTTTTTGATATGAAGGGTCGCGGGCACTGCGAGTGGGCGGAATGGGGCAGATGTCATGATCTACAACATGGACGAGTGTGGGGTGATGTACGACAGGCACGGTTCGAGACGGAATTGGACAATATTCGCGGGGGAGAAAAGAGGGGGGGGACAACATAGAAATCACAAAGGGCGTAAGAAGT